TGTGTTAGCTGTAGACTGGTAGGGTGACCGTGATCTTGCCAAGTGGGACGTGTTCCTGAATCAACATCCTCGTTAGTCCTGGAACAGCATTCCTATCAACCAATCAGGTTTTAGGGGAAGGAGTCAGAGTTCAGCTTAGGACTGGGCAATTCTCTCCGGACTTAAAGGGTGCTTTATTGTCAGGATCAGGACAACCTTTCACTGGAATGTTCTAGGGCAAACAAAACAAATTCATCTAGTATTCTAGAACACATTTTACTTGGCAAAATAGTGGTAACCAGAACTATATTTGACAATAATTTTAAGTATTTTTGCATTAACCACTTATTTTGAATGTTGAGTAAATGTTGTGTAAAATAAATGTCTATTTCAGCTATTTTTGGATCTAATTAAATTGAATATTGTTATATTTTGAATAATTTAATGTAATTTTATTATTAAGTTACTGCAACTGTATGTGATAATAATAATAGTAATAATAATAATCATAATAATGTTGATATTGTTATAATTCATGTATTTTATAATTCATTTGTTTTGAATGTTTTAGAAACATTATTTTGAATGCTGAATAAACATTGTGTAAAATAAATATTTTTTTATTATTTATTTCAGCAATTAAACTACATATTATTGTATTATAATTTAATAATGTCGTTTTTTAATTAACGCAATTGTATTAATAATATTATATTTATTGTTTTTGCTATTATTATTATTAATAATAATAAATAATGTTGTTATTATTATTATTATTATTATTATTAATAATAATAATAATAATTAGTAGAAGTAGTAGTAATATTGTTATTATTGATATTAAGTAATGCATTTTTGCATTTATTTTAAATGTTTTATAAACATTTTGAATGTTAAGTAAATATTGTGTAAAAATACATGTTTATTGCATTTTAGCAATTTCTTAATCTAAAGTATTATATTTTGAATAATTTAATAGTGTCATTTATTATTAAATTATTCCAAATTTAAATAATAATAAATGTTGTTACTAATAATAATAGGTAATAGGTATTAATAATAATAATTAATGTTGTTATTGTTATAATTAATGTAAGTACTTTTGCATTTATTTTGAATGTTTTATAAACATTATTTTGAATTTTAAGTACATTTTGTGTAAAACAAATGTTTATTGCATTTTAGTAATTTCTTAATCTAAATTATTATATTTTGAATAATTTAGTAATGTACTTTATTATTAAATTATTGAAAGCTTAATAATAATAATAATAAATGTTATTAATAATAATAGGTCATAGATAATAATAATTCACGTTTATATTGTTATAATTAATTTAATTACTTTTGTGTTTGTTTTGAATGTTTTATAAACATTATTTTTAATTTTGTGAATTTTTATTTTTAATTTTGTGTAAAATAAATGTTTTGAATTGAATTTCAGCAATTTGTTAATCTAATTAAACAATATTATATTGTGAAAAATGTAATAATGTAATTTTATGAAATTACTGCAAGTGTATTATTGCTAAGAATAAATATTAGTGATGATAACAATTACAATAACACAATAATACAATAACAATTGTAGGCTAAATAGGTATTGAAACACAGCCTCTGTTTGATATTTGTACGGTGTGTTGATAGTTATGTGTGTGTGTGTGTGTGTGTGTGTGTGTGTGTGTGTGTGTGTGCTCTGGTGGTGGTGTCGGCGCTCACCTTCCTCTGCCTCATTCTGCTGCTGGCCGTCCTCGTTTACTGGAGGTGAGACACTCATCCACACTGACGCTTTCAGACTCAATGAATCTCTGACAAACTGACTGACTGCTGGAGTCACACTGACTCTCCGGGTGAATCACTGATTTCCTGAGCCACAGCGACTGATTCTTTGATTGAATCACGGGGAGTCACACAGACGGATGGCTTTACCCTGATGTGACTCTCTTAAACACTTCATCTGGTTTATTGCATTAGAGTTTGGATGACATGTGAATGTTGGTGTAGCTCTGTGTGTGTTTGTGTCTGTTTGGATCCTGTAGCTAGTAGTTTATCACTCTGGGGCCCCTGGCATCCCCTGGGCCCCGAGGGCTGGAATGAAAAGCAGTTAGGTGTGTGTGTGTGTGGAACATGTGTAAAGTGTGGGTGATGTGTCTCTTGTGACGGTAAGTAAGATAGAGAGAGAGGCCATACGCTTCCCTTAGGGCACCTCCGAAGCCATTGAGGTGCTATAGAAATGGCTCTCGGGGCCCAGTTTCCATGGTCACACCCCAGACTGAGTGAATGTGCCTTCAAACAATATATATATGTGTGTGTATTATAGTGTGTAAACTACCATTCAATTTAGGATTCTTTGATGAATCAAATGTTCAAAAGGACAGTATTTATTCTAAATAGGAATCTTTTGTAACAATATAAATCTTTACGGTCACTTTTTATCAATTACAATAACATATATATGTTTTATCAATAAATATGTTACACCCCATTGGACTTTTGTTCTGTTTTCATCCCTCATGTGCTCTGTGTCACCTAGTTTCCCGTGTGTATTATAGTGTGTAAACTACCATTCAAGTGTTTGGAGTTGATAAGATTTTTTAATGTTTTGAAAGATATCTCTGAAGCACACCAAGACTGTATTTATTTAATCAAAAATACAGTAAAATAGTAATATTGTGAAATATTATTATTGTTTAAAATAGCTATTTTCTAATTCAGTGTATTTTTAAATGTAATTTATTCTTGTGAAGCAAAGCTGAATTTTCAGCATCAATTACTAAATTCTTAGACCCTCTTCATCGTGTGGATTACCATTAAAAGGATTTGTTGTAATAATCTTCGTCGCGCCTTCGTCTCCATAACAGCAGTATCGTGACAATATACAGTAAAACCAAAAAATATTCAGACGCCAGATATCATTTTTTCTATTTTTTACTAGTGGGTGCAGGACACTATAGTTCATTTATGTGATAAGTGAGGATAGCAAAATAAAGTAAATTGTGACATATTATACCCAAAAAGTCTTCATAAAGTGGACTACCAGTAAAATTGATACAAAAAAAAATAATTGGGACCAAAAATTGGATTTGACACCTTGACCTGACCATGTTTTGTTACATATCTTTCTATCAAAGTTGTCTGACATTATCAAGATGAATTTGTATTGACACAGTTTAACTATAGCGAATAAACTGTGATAATGTGAGAGATTTTGAAGGTGTCTGAATAAATTTAATATGAATTATTAATTCATTTAATAAACATTAAAAATCTTACTGATCCCAAATTTTGAAAGGCAGTATAGTTGAACGTGTGTTTGTGTTTGTCCGTTTGCTCTCATATGCCTCTCTGGATATGTTCTCCTCTCTAGTGGCCAGCTGATAAAGTCTCTCAGGGGTTTTGATCACACGATGTCTCGGTTTAGCAAACAGCTCTGGAGTAGGCCTGTGCCAGGACTGTCTCCCCAGGTCTGGGCTCTCCGCCCTGGGCCAAAAACGGCCATCTGCTCCCTCCTCTGGAGCTCAAGGGCCATGCAGTAGCAGGGGGTCGTGAAATATTTTGAGCTGTGTAACTGCCGCCAAATCCTCTAATGCTTGATAACACACACATCCACGCAAACACACTTGACCAGGCACAAAACCTCTCCAGAGAGAACATACATCTGTCATATGTGTCATGGTGTCAGTCATGGTGAAGACGACAATAATTAACATACACACTAAAAAATGAGACATAAACTATTATTTGATGCTGTTTCTAGTTGATCAAATGCTAAGAATATTGGGAAATGCTTTGTGAATCTGCTGGGCATTAAAACAGCTGTAACATTCAGTCATTAATATGATCACACACACTCATACACCTCTCTAATGATTGTGTGTGTGTGTGTGTGTGTTAAAGAAGAAAAGACTACCAACAAATAAATACTTTCCCCTGAAAGCAGCTGATACTCGGTAATACAAGATCACACAGCGTGTGTGTGTGTGTGTGTGTGTGTGTGTGTGTGTGTACATGCAAATACATGTATGTATGTCTCACCATATGTTCACACCAGCATACAAATGAATGTCTTCCCACATAAATTTTTACATGTGCATGTGGAAACTATAGAGCTGACGATTGATTTTTTTTTTTAAATAAAAAAAAAACATTTAATGAATTAATTACAGTCTGAGCCTTAGAATGAATTATAATTATCAATATTTGATGAGAATAATCAAATATAATCAAGATAATTTAAGATATTATTGTAGCAGATGAGTAAATCATTGAATAGACATGATAGACAAAAATAAAATTGCTGTATTTTGCACTTGAGTTTTGATGTATGTTGTTATTGTCATCTAAAACGATTAAAAATCAGTGTCATTATTTGAAATAAAGCTGAAATGAAGCACTAAAACTAAACTAAAATAAAGCTAAATAGAAGTGTATTATCATTATTATTAACAAAAAATTAAATGACAAAAAGCACATAACAAAATAACTGAAATTTTCAGCTGAAATAACTTAAAAAGCCATTTCAAAATATAAAAAAATTGTATTTAAATAATACTAAAAAGTAATAGTATACAAACATTTTTAATGATATCATTGTATGTATTTTAGATTAAGCATATTAAATTGAGCACCCTAGTGGAAACACCCTAGTGTGTCTGTAATTTTTTCTACTCTAGTGTGTCTGAAGTCCACCTGGAAACATTAACTAGGATGTGTCACTTCCTGTGGCAGTGTCAGGGGAAAGTCAAATAAACATTTACACTTGAAAAGGAATTTCTCAACAAGTACTTTTGAAAGTACCTTTAAAAAATCCTTAAAACAAGATACATTTATATGCAATATATCTTGAATTATTTGTATTAGTCTTACCCCACTGGCAATTTGTTTTCTTGTTTTGTCCTTAAATTATTTGTGTAAAACAAAAACAATGGGTTAAGAAAGATTGATCATAAATATGTTCATAATATATTTAATAGATTCACTACCAAAATCAGTGAATCTATTGCATTCCAATTACAAATGGTCTAAAACCATTATGTGTGCTATGTAGTTTAGTAGGAGTTGTGTTGATATCTTAGCAACATGCTAAAGTCAGGCTCTTTTGAAGTCAGATGTGTGTTGAGTTTCCCATGCCCTTTTATTTGTGAGCCAAATCTGTAACGTTTTCTGAATCACACTGAAACGTTTTATACATTTTCCTCAGATCTATTGAATGATCAAAATCATTGTGTTAAACAATGCAATTGTTCTTTTGAAGCTGAATAAGAGCCCTTAGCATAATGTCCAGTTGGACTGGTTAAAGTTGAGCGATAATTATCTATATAATAACTTCCTAAAGCATTTCCTGACCGCCCTGGCTCTGCTTTTGTTCTACAGATCAGACCTGTTGAGCATGTAGGTTCACAGTGCCTGCAGGAAGAGTTTCAATGACGCTCTTAAGCCAGGACTTTAGCTAAAGATTATTTACAGTGGAGAGTTGGTTTTTACATTGTAATTTTGGCAGGGATGTCGAGCTCCATGAAGGACAAAAAAGTACTATAAATAAAATCCATAAGTCTTGTGAAGCCATGCAATACCTTTCTGTCAAGAACAGGCTGTTAATTCAGTAAAAATTCTTCCCTAACGACTTTCAGATCTCTTTCATGTTTGCATATTCAAATGTAACCAATCACAAAACACTCAATTTAAATAGCGCTAAGAAATTTGAGGTCTACAACAAAGGGTGGGATTTAAATATTGGTCTGTTTATCATAACAGGGTTATTATCATTGACTACAATTTTTTTTTTTTAATGTGTTCATTGAAATAAAGCTAAAATAAAATGTAAATATTAGATGAAAAACTAAATGGAAATTAGAATTGATGTCAGCTAAATGAATGTGTGAGTACCAAAATTATTAACTATAATAAAAAAAAAAAAATTTTTAATTAAACCTAAATAGTAATATAAAAAACTAATAAAAAGGACAAAAAGAAAAAATTATAGTAAATAAATTATACTAAAATAATACCTCACACAAACTTATTGCATGGTTTCAGAAGACTTTGACTGCATGAGTTTTATTGACTTACATATATATATATATATATATATATATATGTATAGCTCTAGCACCTGTGTAAAGCCCTGTGCATGTGATACACCAGGACACGCCCTCTCTCCACCCACTCTCTCTCTCGTTCTCTCATTGCTCGCTCACTGCTCTGTTTGCTCAGCGGCAGCATGCGGAGCCTACAGTCACTCACCTCTCCTAAAATCCCTCGTTCTTTGCAGGGATGAACAGCTATATGTATAGCTCTAGCACCTGTGTAAAGCCCTGTGCATGTGATACACCAGGACCGGCCCTCTCTCCACCCACTCTCTCTCTCGTTCTCTCATTGCTCGCTCACTGCTCTGTTTGCTCAGCGGCAGCATGCGGAGCCTACAGTCACTCACCTCTCCTAAAATCCCTCGTTCTTTGCAGGGATGAACAGCTTATGTTCTCTGCTGTGCATCAAGTACAGGTAGGACAGATGAGACTCCTGCTGGCTTATCGGGTTGACGTCCAAATCTTGGAGTTTTTGTAACTTTAGAACAACCTTTTAATCTCTCGCTGTCTTTCTCTTTCTGTTTGTTTCTATGGATTTTGTTTCTTACCTGTTTATCGCTTTTCTTGCAAAGTGAAAGAAAGAGGTAAAACCAGTTTACAGCTCTCAAACTGGAAACAACTGCCAATAATTCATCCTGACAGTCCGGGTTTCTTTAAGAGTTTGTTTACTTTGTAATTTGGTGTGTTATGTTCTAAATGGACTTCATGCAGACAGCTGATAGACGTTTTAGTTTAAAATGCATAGATAGAAAATGTTTCACATGGATTTTAGGAGTATAAAAGTGTGTGGGTTTATATTTTGCAGGAAAAAATTTTTTACACAAAATCTAACAAAACCTCCTTTAGGGTGCATCAGGAAATGTCCTCAAAGGTAAATTATAATTATTTAAATTCATTATAATTATAATTATAAAATACAATTTTTTCTAATAATATAATATGTTTTTTTCTAATTCAAATTTTTAATTAAAACTTAATTATAATTTACATTAATTATAATTCTCTTATCATTCACTCACTTAAATCACTCAGTTCCAAATCTCTATGATTTAATTTCTGATGTGGAACACAAAAGGAGAAGTTTAGCAGGATGTTCAAGCTGTTCCTTCTCTACAGAGGATGAGGACTAAGGAATGGACAAAAATGACCCCATAAAACATCATAAAATTATGGATAAAAAAGAACTGTTTGGACAGTTTGCTATAAAATAACTACTTTTGTATTCCACAGAATACAAGTCACACTGGTTTGTAAACACATTTTTCCTTTTTTTTATTTATTTTTTTCGTATTGACGCTCTACAAAGTGTTTGAAGTGTAAGGCTGTAATCTCTGTTTGGAGTGTTCGATTTGCTCTTTGAAGAGAAGGTTCAAAGTTTGATCTTGATCCTGTCATATGTACCCAGCAGCATGTGTGTTTACTCTGGTGGGGATTGTTACCTAAACCACGCCTCATGGAAACTCTTAAGCAGCCCTGAACAGCCATTACATCACTTGACTGTCTCTGTTCCGCAGGAGGTGTTTCCAAACAGCTCATTTCTACGTCGAAGACAGTAACTCACCCAGAGTTGTGCCCAATGAGAGTATCCCGGTCATCCCAATCCCAGGTAGGAGATTTCTAACAGATCTCAGATCAGTCAAACACATACAGTATGATCTAAAGACACGCTCCACTCTGATCCAGTGTCAGGTGCGGAAGAAGTCATAGATAACAGGTGCTTTGATATGATCTAATGTCAATATAGTGATATGAAACGTATGCATTTGTCTTTCTTGCTTACTTTGCGTTATGGGTAAAAGGTTGTATTACATAAGATTTTTAGCCGTGCTAAGATTGAACAAAGCTGTGGCTGTCTTCTCAGCGTGTGTGTTTCTGTGTAGAATAGACTCTAACTCTGCACTCTCTACAGACTGTTATTCTGTGCTATTAGTGTAGAATCTAAAAATCCATTGCTGCATTGATTCTGACATGAAGTGGCTCTAATCAAGTTTTCAGCTTCTGGGAGACTGGGAGGAAAACGGCTGTGTTCACAAGCATGAGGTGCAGGGTGTAGCGCCACCTTTTGATTGATTCTTTTTTTTTCTCTTGTTGTTTCTTATATTGTGTTGTGCTTGCACTATTACTGTGTGGAACTCCTAGCCCTAAAGGCCTGGGTACACTTCATTTCCTGTGTTCCACTCCATCTTGTGCATAGCCTTGTCTGCACAGCTTTCAAAGTATACTTAACTGCAGATAAGCGTGAACAGGTGAATTCAACACATGCGCAGTACCATATATCAGACTCATTTGGTCTCAGCATTCACTTCGTGTCTACCTTGTTATATGCAGACTGTCCACGCAGACACTTTTGATCACAAAAAGTATGTCACATGGACCATTGCGGAACTCAGATACTTTGGGCTTAAGTATTAGACTTCCTCCAACAACATGTGCTACAGGCATGAATAATATGTCAAATTCTACTACTTACTTTTCTAAATGATCAAACTTATAAAATGGGCAAAAAAAAAATCCCCTAGACTTACATTGAAGGAATAGCAACCACCCAGAACACCCTAGCAATGCCTGGCAACCAACAACAACACCCTATAAACCACCTAGCAACACCCTAGCACCCACCAACAACACCTGAGAACTACTTGGTTAGCAAAGCTCTAGCAACCACCTGGTAATGTCCTGAGACTACACAACACCCTATTAATCCCCTAGCAACTGTTTAGTAACACTACTCATAAAATTCCAGCAACCATCAAGCAAAGACCTAGCAATCATCCCCAACACCCCATAAAGCTTTGTCAGCCCCCAATATCACCCTTTTAATACCCTGACAAACTACCCACAGCACTCTATCGATGCTCTAGCAACCAATTAGCAATATCCTAACAAACCATTTAAAATAATTCAGCAACCACATCCTGAAAACCCCATCAGTACTCTGGCAACCAACCACAACACCCTATTAAATGCCCTAGCAATCACCTAGTAATGCCCTGACAACCGCCAACAACACCTAAGAAACTACATAGCTAACAGCATCCTGGAAGCCATCTAGCGATGTCCTGACAACCACCTGCAACTACCCACAACATCCTAGGAACCTCTAGCAACCATTCAGAACTCTCCAGGCAAGAACCACCAAGCAAAGACCTAGAAACATCCGCGACACCCCATAAACACCCCAGCAACCCTCAACAACATCCATGCAACTGCCTGGCCAGCAAAGCCCTAGCAACCACCTAACAATATCCTAATAACCACCCACGACACCCAGGCAACTGCCTGGCTGGAAAAGCCATATAAACCACTTAGATATATCCTGGCAACCACTCAGAACATGCCAGCAACCATCACACAAAGACCTAGCAGCCATTCACAACACCCTAACAACCATCAACAACACCCAAGCAACTGCCTGGTTAGCAAAGCAGTGGTAACCACCTAGAAATATCCTGACAACCACATGAAACTACCCACAACCCCCTAGCAATGCCCCAACCACTTAGCAGCACTCTAGCAACCACTCAGAACATGCCTGCAACCACCCCACAACACTCTAACAACCCTCAACAACACCCATGCAACTGCTTGGCCAGCAATGCCCTGGCAACCACCTAACAATATTCTAATAACAAACCACGACACCCAGGCAACTGTCTGGCTGGAAAAGCAATAGAAACCACTTAGATATATCCTGGCAACCACTCAGAACATGCCAGAACCACACAAAGACCTAGCAGCCATCCACAACACCCTAACAACCATCAACAACACCCAAGCAACTGCTTGGCCAGCAATGCTCTGGCAACCACCTAACAATATCCTAATAACCACCCACGGCACCCAGGCAACTGTCTGGCTAGCAATGCCCTGGCAACCACCTAACAACGTCCTAACAACCACCCAAATCACCCAAGCAACTACCGGGCTACCGACGCCCTGGCAACCACCTAGAAATATCCTGACGACCACATGAAACTACCCACAACCCCCTAGCAATGCCCCAACCACTTGAGCAACACTCTAGCAATAATATAGAGCAACACTCAGAACACTCCTGCAAGCACCACACAAAGACCTGGCAAGTATTATAATAATGTGTATTATAATAACAATAAATTTAGCATAATTACATGCAAGTAACCCTAAACCAAACCCCAATCCTATCCCTAACCATATAGTAAGTACATGTAGTTAATTAATATTATTCAGTACTTAAATGTATAGTTGCACTGTAACAAAGACACCTTAAATTAAAGTGTAACCCAATATCCTAATAACCACCCACGACACCCAGGCAACTGTCTGGCTAGCAACGCCCTGGAAAGCACCTAGAAATATCCTGACAACCACATGAAACTCCCCACAACCCTCTAGCAATGCCCCCAACCACTTAGCAACATTCTAGCAACCACTCAGAACACTCCTGCAACCACCACACAAAGACCTGGCAACCACGCATAACACTCTAACAACCATCAACACCACTCAAGCAACTGCCTGGCCATCAACGCCCTCGCAACCACCTAACAATATCCTAATAACAAACCACGACACCCAGGCAACTGTCTGGCTATAAATGCCCTGGAAACCACCTAACAATGTCCTAACACCCAAACAGCTACCTGGCTAGCAACACCATGGCAACCACCTAACAACGTCCTAAAAACCACCCAAATCACCAAAGCAACTACTGGACTACCGACGCCTTGGCAACTACCTAGAAATATCCTCACAACCACCTGCAACTGCTCAAGACACCCTAGGAAACCCTAGCAACCACTCAGAACGCTCAAGCAAAGCAACCAGTGGTGAAGAGTTAGTTTGGAATGGTGTTCCTGTTTTGTTAATAAGGTGATTTTCTGGAATGGCTGGCCATGTAATGTTTACTTTAAGCTGGATCTGATGAGTGTGCGCTACACTGAAGAGTTTGTTGAATATAGACACAGTAGCTGTTTGAGGAAATTTGGCCCTGTTAGGCCTGTTCAGGGTCTGTGCGGTTAACAGAGAAGACAAGTGCTGTTTATCTTGACCGTCCGCATGTACACACACACACTTTTACACGCATACACATTAGCCATTAAGATTAGAGCCAAGAAAATGGCTTCATCTGACTGGCCTGTATCTCACATTGGCTCGTTGCCGTTGTGTGTGTGGGTAAATCATTAGCGGAGAGCTTAGCGGAACAGAAGTGTGTGATTTTCAGGATCTGAAGGTTTCAGGTCCGGGTTAGTCAGTATAGTGGAACCCAGATCTTAATGCAACAACAGCAATTGATTTGCTCAGGCTTTTCCATAAGCACTTCATTGGAAGCAATTTTCATTGTTACACTGTGGCACGGCTCACAATAATGGTGGCACGGTGCCCTCAATCCAATTTGGGCATCTGTGTTCCAGCTTGGCGAGGGCTGGCCTCTGTATTTACAAAGATCCATTTAGTGTGGGCAGCAGCCTCTCTCTCCGCTGGCTGCGGCTCATATGGCGCTTCACGTTCACTGTCCTTTCAAACATGGATGCTTTCCTGCTAAATAGGGCCTTCAGTTTCTGGCTCCATTTCCCAGTTAGTTTCTGGCATCCGTGGGTGCCAACATTTGTTTGTTAGCTGTATTCAGTTGTAGGCGTTTTAGGATAAAGACAGAAGGTGCATGGATCGCCTTTTATGAGTGTCAGAAGCTTTAGATAGAGTTGGGCTCGGGTCATGGAAATGTAAGTTGTTGTAAAAAAATGTTTCATTTAATTATTATACACTACCGTTCAAAGAATTGGGGTCAGTGAGATATTTATATTTATTATTATCATAGAGATATGTATAGTGTTACAAAAGGTGTGTTTCAAATAAATGCTGTTCTTTTGAAATTTCATAAAAGAATCCTGGAGGAAATGCATTACATTTTCCACAAAAAATATATATTTATATATATTATGCCGCACAACTGTTTTAAACAATGATAGTAGGTTAATAAGTTAAGATATAATTAGAGCATATTAGAATGATTTCTGAAGGATCATGTGACACTGAAGGTAATGGCTGCTGAAAATTCAGCTTTGCATCACAGGAATAAATTACATTTTAAAATAAATAAAAATGGAAATCTTAAATTATAAGAATATTTCACAATATTATTTTTACAGTATTTTTTAATAAATGCATCCTTGGTGAGCATAAGAGATTTTCTTCAAAAATTAAAAGATCTTACCAACTCCAAACTTTTGAATGGTAGTACAGGTGCATCTCAATAAATTAGAATGTCATGGAAAAGTTCATTTATTTCAGTAATTCAACTCAAATTGTGAAACTCGTGTATTAAATAAATTCAGTGCACACAGACTGAAGTAGTTTAAGTCTTTGCTTCTTTTAATTGTGATGATTTTGGCTCACATTTAACAAAAACCCACCAATTCATCTCAACAAATTAGAATATGGTGACATGCCAATCAGCTAATCAACTCAAAACACCTGCAAAGTTTCCTGAGCCTTCAAAATGGTCTCTCAGTTTGGTTCACTAGGCTACACAATCATGGGGAAGACTGCTGATCTGACAGTTGTCCAGAAGACAATCATTGACACCCTTCACAAGGAGGGTAAGCCACAAACATTCATTGCCAAAGAAGCTGGCTGTTCACAGAGTGCTGTATCCAAGCATGTTAACAGAAAGTTGAGTGGAAGAAAAAAGTGTGGAAGAAAAAGATGCACAACCAACCGAGAGAACCGCAGCCTTATGAGGATTGTCAAGCAAAATCGATAAATTTTGTTTATTTTTCTCTTTACAGATTTGTGACCCTAGAGCACAAAACCAGTCATAAGTAGCATGGCTATATTTGTAGCAATAGCCAAAAATACATTGTATGGGTCAAAATTATAAATTTTTCGGTCACATTAATTTGTGTGTATTTAGCCTTAGCCAGATTTAAGTGACAGTTTCTGTGCTTATTGTGTGTCTGTCAGTTGGAGAGTGTGAATCTGGCCAGTCTTTATGTTCACCATGACTGAAGTTGAACCTTGATCCTTCATTCATCCTCTTAGACTCCTCATAGTCGACACATTGAACTGTTGATTATCTAATCAGCCAGTCAACCAATCAAAGCACAGTATCTACCGTTTAGAAGGATCACCGTGCCAGCTCTGGAAAGACTTGTGTGCTACTTTTGCTGGTGTAAGGTGCCGTTTTGGATGTTTAATCAAAACTAAAATAATTATAAAACAGTAGTATTAATTACAGTAATAACTGTATTTATTTTTAAATTATTGTATTAATCCAAAATGAAATGTCACTGTTAAGGATTGCAGGTTTAAATATTGGAAAGTCAAAATTTTGTATATTTTTAAAAGGCTTACTATCATTGGCTCAGTGAGGGTGATGAGGGTCTATGGCGTCTTCTTTGTGATATTTCCTGTTTTATGGTTTTCTCAAGATAAGACAACAAAAGGGCGGATACATCTCTTTTTTTCTCTGTTTCAGATGATATGGAGGCCATCCCTGTTAAACAGTTTATCAAGCATGTATCAGAACTCTACTCCAACAACCAACACGGCTTCTCAGAAGAGTTTGAGGTAAGATCTTCACACACACACACACACACACACTTTACAGGCGTATACCGTCTCTAAGTCTTCCCTCTCAGCAAACTCCCTCAGACTTTTGTAAACACAGGTCCTGTCTCATGTGGTTCCCCCGGCCTCGCTGCAGTGGTTCTGTTGACAGGTTCTGGTGTCTGTCTGTGAACAGCTGGGCCGGGATCCCTCCGCGGATGCTTGTTATTTCTGGCAGGTGGCCGTACAGGACAAGCCAGTTGAACTCAGCCTGTGTGAGAATGAATTAGGCCATCTGAACGCTGTCGTTTTTCACACCGAGTTTTTTGGACTCTCTCTCAGGTGTGTGTGTGTGTGTGTGTGTGTGTGTGTGTGTATGTGTGTTAGTGTGATACAGAAGCCAGAAAACCACAACAACATTCTGTCAGATTAATGTGATGACAGTTTGTAGGAGGATGACTTGTAATTAACTATCCATTGGGTCTTGGGCCACAGCGTCTGCTTGTGCTGTCAGTGGCACAGCTGAATGTCAATGAATGATCTGAGATGTTTAGCCTGCAGGTCAGAGCTGCATGGACACACACATATACTGGGTTTTATGTGTCCTCTGTGGAACAGGGTTCTGAAATGTTCAGACCTTTGGCTGTGCCAACATTACAGAATTGTTTCTTCGATTTTCGAGCTGTTATCAAGCGAAATGAGGGATCACTAAACAATATTACCCTTTATATATTTATTTATTTCCTTTTTTATTTGCCTGATTTGTTGCCTTTTACATTTTATTTTATGCAAATAAAAATTGAACGAGGGTCAAAATTTTTGATTATATGGGGCAAAAATACCCCTGAAATATCTACATTTTTTATTTGTAAAATCTTATATTTATATTTATAAAATTTTATTTTATGCAGGCCCTGCTAATTCCAAGTAGTTTTTAGTTCAAATAGTTTTTCAAGCCATTGTTGATAAATATGTAGACAACATGGAGCAGTATCTTATTACACATAAATTAATCTTATAATAAAAACAATAAAAATTAAAACCATTGTATATTCAAAGACTCATTTTGGGAGTTTACTTGAATAAATTAAAATAAATTAAATTAATATATAACAGCATGTAATGGTAGGTATGGTAAATGTATTAGTAATATAATATAATAATTAATAAAATATAATATAATTTAATAATATTAATTTAATAAATAAATATGAAGTAAAAGTCAAATATCATAAAAATTAATATTTTTGATTCATTCATTCTGAGTTCCTCATTTTGGGTCAGTTCGCTTGAATAGTCATCCATTTCTTTAGATTTTTTTGTTACACCATTTTCTTTTTTAAATCTTTTTAATTTTTGATAACTTTCACCAGAAATACTATTTTAAAAGTATATTTCATTACAGTTTTTTCTTACACACAAAATCTTTACTTGTCACATGATTTCTGAAACCTGACACTCAAACACCAGAACCACACACCAAATCTGCAAAACCATATGCTAATTCTCACCCTTTGACTCAGATGTCAATTTCATAAAACACTTTTTTCAAAACACAACACACAATTCGCTATGTAACACACAAAAATCTGACAGGTATTAAAATGGCAAAGGTGTTTGCAAATGTTTGCTTTTGCGATGTGTTTGTGATGTTTTGAATGCAGTGCTTCATTTTGCAAGAGATGCATTTTGCATTTTGTGTGTGCAATTATTGGATATGTGTAAAGTTTGGAAAAAAATAGAGGCAAAGTTTCTAATGACAGCATTGAATTTTTTTTTCTGCAAATACATTTTGAATGTAGCCCATGTCTGTTGTGCATGTCATGATGCAAAGGAAAAATTTTCAATTTAGTTTCAAAGTAGGTCTCCTACTTTCCCTCCTTCAGAGGAGAGAATGAGAGGAGGATAGAAGGGGTATGTGGGTCACTAAGGTTCTTTGGAGGGCCTCCCTTGGCCTCTTTGTTCCACAGTGGCTTGATTGGCACAGGGACGTGCCTCTGAAAGTGTGTGTGTCTTGATGGACATTGGAAAGTGGTTCCAAGGGGGTCTTCTGGTGCTGTTTCCCTTCAATGGATTCCTCTGTGGTTCCTATCCCTTCACTCTCGCCTTAAAATATAATATAATTTAATAATATTAATTTAATAAATAAATATAAAGTAAAAGTCAAATATCATAAAAATTAATATTTTTGATTCATTCATTCTGAGTTCCTCATTTTGGGTCAGTTCGCTTGAATAGTCATCCATTTCTTTAGATTTTTTGTTACACCATTTTCTTTTTTAAATCTTTTTAATTTTTGATAACTTTCACCAGAAATACTATTTTAAAAGTATATTTCATTACAGTTTTTTCTTACACACAAAATCTTTACTTGTCACATGATTTCTGAAACCTGACACTCAAACACCAGAACCACACACCAAATCTGCAAAACCATATGCTAATTCTCACCCTTTGACTCAGATGTCAATTTCATAAAACACTTTTTTCAAAACACAACACACAATTCGCTATGTAACACACAAAAATCTGACAGGTATTAAAATGGCAAAGGTGTTTGCAAATGTTTGCTTTTGCGATGTGTTTGTGATGTTTTGAATGCAGTGCTTCATTTTGCAAGAGATGCATTTTGCATTTTGTGTGTGCAATTATTGGATATGTGTAAAGTTTGGAAAAAAATAGAGGCAAAGTTTCTAATGACAGCATTGAATTTTTTTTTCTGCAAATACATTTTGAATGTAGCCCATGTCTGTTGTGCATGTCATGATGCAAAGGAAAAATTTTCAATTTAGTTTCAAAGTAGGTCTCCTACTTTCCCTCCTTCAGAGGAGAGAATGAGAGGAGGATAGAAGGGGTGTGTGGGTCACTAAGGTTCTTTGGAGGGCCTCCCTTGGCCTCTTTGTTCCACAGTGGCTTGATTGGCACAGGGACGTGCCTCTGAAAGTGTGTGTGTCTTGATGGACATTGGAAAGTGGTTCCAAGGGGGTCTTCTGGTGCTGTTTCCCTTCAATGGATTCCTCTGTGGTTCCTATCCCTTCACTCTCGCCTCCACTACTTGAGCAGAGAAAAATAGGGAAGATAGCCGAGCCAAACCCCTTTTGGACAGAGCCCTCCAGGCCCCTGACAAGTGGCTTTGTGCAGCCTGGGCCGAAAAACAAAGCAGTGGCTGGGGTGGCAGCGATCATGGGAGCCAGCGAGAAGAGGAAGGCTGTTGGCTAGGCCTGGACAGGCACAGGGATTATGTGCGCCCCGGGAATGAGTTTTTTAGGGGGGAATAAAGAAAAGCGACTGAGGGAAAAAAAGAAGAGGACACTTGGAGAAGTTTGCCATTCAGCTGAAAGCAAGAGAAGCGTGAATGGAGAACGCCAGAGAGGAAGACAAATCAGAGTCTGAGAAGAGTAGTGGACGACAGGTTTATTTACTTTTTTCCTATAAGTCTTTTTAAAGAAATAGTTCACCCAAAAATGAAAATTTGCTAAATATTTACTCACCCTTTTGAGATGTAGATTAGTTTGTTTTTTCCATCAGAACAGATTTGTAGAAATGTATATCATTCCATCACTTGCTCATCACGGATCCTCTGCAGTGAATGGGTGCCGTCAGAATGAGAGTCCAAACAGCTGATAAAAACATCACAGTAATCCACACCACTCCAGTCAATGAGCAGGACTCAAGTGTCTCGAGTCTTCTATCCATAACATTGCTTTTTCCAACAGGGCATAAACTTTTCACTGCAGAAATAGTGGAATAAAGTTTGCAACATTATAGCAAACAACTAGCAATGTTTGGTTCTAAGAACATTCTCAAAACATTACCCAACCATACTTGTTTGTTTGTTTGTTTGTTTTGTTAACCAGAAAAGTTTTCTTTGCATAAATGGAATGTTCTGTTTATGTTTGCAGCATTTTTCCCTAATAAGTTGAAAAATTGAAAAATTTAAGTAGAAATGACTGTACAACTGTTTTGATTATACCTTATATATACCTTATACCGATTTGATTGAACTTCAATTGAAGGCTTAAACTTAAGTTTTTAAGTTGAAATAGGTGGACATTTTTTTACAGTGTAACTAATAAAAATAAGCCAAGCACAATCGACCATCATATGGAGGATTAAGTTAATACAGTATGTAAGATTGAATTATGTAAGATTTCCTAGAGCGTGTCTATATCACTCTACCACAATAACCCAGATTTTACTTTTCACAACCAAGTAAATTATTCCAAATAACAATCACTTTAACTTAATCTAGGGCTTTTAAAATGGCTTTTAAAATATGACATTGTATTTATAGATTTGTAGAAGAAATTAATAAAAATGTATGTACAAGATAACATTACGTACATTCTGTGACACTGAATTGTACAGTTTAATAGGAACATGCTTCTCTCCCCATTTGGTCAGTACAGTAAACAAAAACGTCTTAACATAATGTTCCTTTAGTTAAAGAGAAACATACGTCAAGATGCTCTCAAGGGTGCACTTGACTTTTAGCCTCCACATCCTGCTCATCCTCTTGATTTATTTCTACTCTTTTCTTTTTCACAATCAACTGCAAAGTTGCATTCACAATTCCTAATGCAACTCTTTTTTTTCAATACACTTTTTAACTCAAGGAAGGAAAATGGGTTGCTAAATGTCATGAAAAACTCTTTATAAGTGTTCAGTGTAATACAACCTGCATCATACATGATATCACAGGTCGCACATGAATAGAATTGACAGTCATGGACTGTCCTCTCATAAATGTTGACTTACCCTGTGATGTTCTGTGAAGTATCATCTCTTTGGTCTTCTCAGAATGCTGGTGAGGTTAGTTCAGGTGCAGGTAACCAGAAACCACACAGGTGCGTGTGTGTGGATGAGAGACTTATTGAAAACAGCCCCTGGCAGATTTTCAAACATCTTGTGGTTTTAAAGGGGTCATATGACGTTGCTAAAAAGAACATTATGTTAATGAGCGGAGGCCGGTGGGCTTGAGAATGGCGCGGCCGGCGGATTCGACGAAGGAGCGTCCGGCGGGTTTGCGGCAACCACATGTGACGACCCCGGGCTGGACTCTGCTTCGTCCACAGTGAAAGCCGATCCGGCGATCCACAGCGCGAAGTTGATGAATATCCTCGACCAGCACGGATCAGCTCCAGGCATGACGAAGCAGATATCGTCCTCTTTTGGAAGGCCAAACAAAGAACACTCCAAAGAGAAAGGAAAAATTGAAATTGCATCATATGAACCCTTTAAACAAGCTTGTCCGCTCACTCTCAAAACACACAACCAGCTAATGCACACACACCGCCAATTCTTATGTTCTGGTACATCACTTAAACATCTCAACGTCTTTGTTGCATGCTGTTAATAGAATGTGTCAAGCGCTCGTGTGTTTAGATCTGTTAACAGTCTCAGGATGTTAGCTTTGCTGAACCCACTGTACATGCTTACATGCAAATTAAAAACAGTGTTTGTGGTAATGCACAGCAGTTGTGTATAATACTGTATGTCACATGTATTAGATAAGGAAATATTAGCCTAAATTACAATTAAGCAAAACAATAGATAAAACAAGTAAAGTAAACAAGTAAACAAAAAGAGAACAAGTAATTCTAAAATCAATAGATATACTGTTCAAAATTAATATAAAAAGTGTGTGTATTATATGTATTATCTGTATGAAAAGGTTTTTTGTATGACACTAAATTAAAATGAAATTCACAATTTCTCATCTGTGTGTGTGTGTGTGTGTGTGTGTGTGTGTGTGTGGTAGGAAGTGCAGCGCTGCACAGCAGATATGAAGATCACATCAGAACACTCCAATCACCCTGACAACAAGCACAAAAACAGATACATCAACATCATAGCCTGTGAGTCTCACTTTATAAAAGCACAGTGGTCCAAAAATCTGAGACCACTTGCGAAAATGCTTCTGTTTTTATCATTTTTAAATTGTAAATAATATCAGTATATGGATTTCATTTCAAATTTAAAGGGATAGTTCACCCTAAAATGAAAGTTCTGTCATTAATTACTCACTCTCATGTCGTTCCAAAGCCGTAAGACCTTCGTTCATCTTCGGAACAAAAAATAAGATATTTTTGATGAAGCTTTCTGACCCTGTAGACAACAAAGCAACTACCACGTTCAAGGCCCAGAAAGGTAAGGACATTGTTAAAATAGTCAGTGGTTCAACCTTAATGTTATGAAGCTACAAGAATACTTTTTGTGCACAAAGAATACAAAAAGTAATGGCTTTATTCAACAATTTGAATTGTTTTTCTCCATGCTTTCACAAGAGTACCATGATGTAAAATTAAGGTTGAACCACTGATGTCACATGGACTATTTTAACAATGTCCTTACTTCCTTTCTGGGTCTTGAACATGGTAGGTGCTTTGCTGTCTATGCAGGGTCAGAAAGCTCTCGGATTTCATCCAAAATATCTTAATTTGAGTCGCGAAGATGAACAAAGGTCTTACAGGTTTGGAACGAAATGAATTTTCATTTTTTGGTGAACTAACCCTTTAATTAAACATTTACATACAGTACTGTTCAAAAGTTTTGAGTTGGTCCTTTTTTTGTTTGAAAGAAATTAATCATTTTATTCATCAAGGATACATTAAATTGATTAAAAGTGACAGTAAAGACATTTATAATATTACAAAAGATTTCTATTTCAAATGCTGTTCTTTTGAACTTTTTATTCATAAAAAAAACATGAAAAAGTGTGCTACACAAATAATAAGAAACACAACTGTTTTCAACATTGATTATAATAAAAAAAAAGTTTCTTGAGCAGCAAATCAGCATATTAGAATGATTTCTGAAGGCTCATGTAACACTGAAGAATAAAGTTGTGGATTTTTAAATAGAAAACAATTATTTTAAATTGTAATAATAAAAAATAGTTCACAATATTACAGATTTTTTGTTTTGTTTTTTTGGTGCAAATTTCCAGAATTAGGTTTGTCCCCATTTGCTTTAATGACAGCAGCACTCGAGTTTATTCAAAACCTGATGGTCTTGTTATCTAACATGACTTTAAAAAAGGTTATGAAGAGTGAAGGCAATATTTTGTTTCCACATTGTTTCAAAATCTTTATATCTGCATGTGGTCTCAGAGGTTTTTACCCAACTGTAGCTCAGATATCAGACATGAATCTCACTGGCTATCTCTTGTTCTTCCTCCAGATGACCACAGTCGAGTGAAGCTCAGGCCTCTGGCAGGAAAAGACTCCAAACACAGTGACTACATCAATGCCAACTATGTGGATGTGAGTGATGACTGCAGAACACACTTCTGTATACATAATGACTTGGCTGTATGTGATGTATATTTCTGTATCTCTCTCCTCTACAGGGCTACAATAAACCCAAGGCCTACGTCGCAGCTCAGGGTCCTCTCAAGTCCACATTCGAGGACTTCTGGCGGATGGTGTGGGAACAAAACACCGGCATTATAGTCATGATCACTAACCTGGTAGAGAAAGGCAGAGTGAGTTATAACGTCACAACCATTACAGTTTCAGAATCATCAAATAATCGTTTGTTTTATATGGCCTCTTTAAACGTTGTCCTCTTTTTGTGTGCGTCCTACAGAGAAAATGCGACCAGTACTGGCCGACAGAGAACAGCGAGGAATATGGGAATATTGTGGTGACTCTGAAGAGAACCAAAGTAATGGCGTGCTACACACTCCGCATCTTCACTATCAGAAACACCAAAGTAAAGAAGGTAAACACCTTTTTTATTTCTCCTCTGACACTTCTGCTTCTCTATTGCTGCTGAATTAAACCAAAAGTACATCATTACAACACACAACAACACACTGTATGAAATGAACGCTACTGTGAAAAAAGTAATAACAATAAAGATCAGTTCAGTATAATTTAACATTTGGTTAAATAATGCAGGTTTAAGTTTTCCCATCATTAAAATAGCCTAGGAAGCTGGCATGGCATTAAAATGCCAACTAATGACCAACCACATTAAACCAGTAAACACACAATGAAAATGGGTCGTTCAACAAAACAGGTGCCATTATATAACATTTATGTGTTAGAAATGACTTTAGCAATGAATAGCGGGTGCCAACCTTTATTATTTGTTAATATAGAATATTTTTGAAACACATTAAAAATCCAATAACTTTTTTTACATTTTCTTTCATTATTTTTCAACCATTTTTTGAAGTTCACCTTTATTTTTTCTATATAATTTTAGATGTAGTATATGTAGATTTTAGTTGACAAATATGTATTGTTAAAACTCTTCATTTATGTTTTGTTTTATTTGTCAGTAGAGTAGATCTTAAAAACGATGTATTTTTTAATTATTCCGGTTTTATAATTGAGACTGTTTTATAAAAACTTATTTTATCACCTCATCAAACTTGAAAAGGCACCCATTTCATAAAATGATCCACACAGTCATTGTGCATGGTTTGACCTGCTTTCCTTTACCTGGGAGAAGGATTGTGGCAGGGTTGAGCATTAAAAGCCAGAGGAAAAAATCTTAAGAAGCTTATGCAAGGGCCTGGCCTTCACAGCGTCAGTGAGAGTGATCTGCTCTCTCCATAAAACTCTTTCATAATACATAGAGCCTTACCAAGGCCACTGGCAGCAAAAAAATAAGGGTCATTTTATAGCAGCCACGTAGATATGAGTTTAGATGCCACTTTTTTACAGAAATGAAAAATTAATGTATGGTAATGTATGGTAAAATAAAATGTAAAAAATAGAAAGCTGACATGCTTCTGTACAGTACTATCACAAACCTGTGCTGTAAATTTGAATGCCAAGTGAGGGTTATGTGAAGATAAGGGGATTGCTCATGTGTTTTTGTGTTTCTTCACCATGAGATACAATTGCATTTGAGTGTGTACTTTTTTTCAGAAAAAAAACATCCTTGTTTCGGACCAGGGTTTCTGAAAATATCCTCAAATTTAGCAAAACAAAAGTCTTAAAATTGACTTGTGGAATATTATCACTAGTAAAAAAAATACATGGGTTAAATACTGCAAATATATTAAGGCTCAGTAAATATGCAATCTTTGTCAATTTATAATGAAGCCAGGGTTAAGAAAGCCAGTCCCTGTCGTTTGTTTTGTTTTGTTTTGCTTTGTTTTGCTGTTTTGCTTTGCTTTGTTTTGCTGTTTTGTTTTGCTTTGCTTTGCTTTGCTTTGCTTTTTGCTGTTTTGTTTTGCTGCTTTGTTTTGCTTTGCTACGCTTTGATTTGTTTTTGCTTTGTTTTGCTGTTTTGTTTTTGTTTTGCTGTTTTGTTTTGCTTTGCTTTGCTTTAATTTACTTTGCTTTGCTTTGCTTTGCTGTTTTGTTTTTGTTTTGCTGTTTTGTTTTGCTTTGCTTTGCTTTAATTTACTTTGCTTTGCTTTGCTTTGCTGTTTTGTTTTTGTTTTGCTGTTTTGTTTTGCTTTGCTTTGCTTTGTTTTGCTGTTTTTTTGTGCCTTGTTCTTGCTTAATCTATAAAACAGTAGGAGTATATGTTTGCTGTTTTGTTTTGCTGTTTTGTTTAATTTAGTTGTGCTTTGTTTTGTTTTGTTTTGTTTTGTTTTGTTTTGTTTTGTTTTGCTGTTTTGTTTTGTTTTGTTTTGCTCTTGCTTTGCTTTGCTTTGTGTCTTGTTCTGGCTTAATTTATACAACAGTAGGAGTCTATGTTGTTCTTCTTTGTCCTTTTATGTTGAAGGGTCATATGTAGTTATAAAAGGTTCATCTGTTTGTGTGTGTGTTTGCAGGGTCAGAAAGGTAACACTAAGGGACGTCAGAGTGAAAGAACAGTTCTGCAGTATCACTACACTCAGTGGCCAGATATGGGTGTCCCTGAATACACGTTACCTGTGCTCACCTTTGTCAGGAGGTCCTCTGCCGCACAGACTCCAGAGATGGGCCCCATGCTTGTACACTGCAGGTAAAAAAAACACACACATGCACACACTTCCACTGGCTGATTTGATGGCTAAAGAGAGCAATAAACAAACTTTTTTATATGTTATTAATGTGTCTTCTTCAGTGCTGGTGTGGGCAGGACAGGAACTTATATTGTGATTGACAGCATGCTACAACAGCTGAAAGATAAAGGCTCAGTCAATGCGCTGGGTTTCCTCAAACATATACGCACTCAGAGAAACTACCTGGTCCAAACGGAGGTGAGCCACCAGTTTAAATCTGTCCTGTTTGTTGGTGTCATCTAGCATGTCTCTTTACATATCTGTTTGTCTGTGTCTGTGTGTTTAGGAGCAGTATATCTTCATCCACGATGCCTTGATGGAAGCCATTCTTGGGAAGGAAACAGAGGTGCCCTCTAGTCAGCTGCACAGTTACGTCAACAACATCCTGACGCCGGGCCCAGGGGGCAAAACACGACTGGAAAAGCAGTTCAAGGTGGAGACTATCTCTTTCCTTATGCAAAGTCATTTGGACAGGCAGTTTGTCTGTCAGCACTTATTGCAATGCATGACACATTCTCTGCATATCAGAAGAGATTTGATTTTTAATGCATATTTATGTGGAGAAGCATTTTGCACCACAAATTGGCTCACTTTTATCGCTTGTTGCTTTATCATTTCATACCCGGTTAGGACACTGTGACTTACAACCCAAGCTTGACAGGTCCTGTGCGGGAAAAATGTGTGATATGTGGCTTGCTTGAGTTTCATAAGTTTATAAAATATTTTATTGAGTCCTGAAATTCTCACTTTTTATGGTTATTTTTGGTTCGGCTTCAATAATGAATATAAATCAACATTTCATTTTATTTGGTAGGCTACAACTGCAGGACATATTTCCTTCCTGGATTTGCAGTACTTCATGTGATGCATCTTTTTTTGTTTTGTTTTGTTGTTTTTGTTTTGTTTTCTAATAAATGTCAATTAGTTGTTTTTTGTTTTGTGTTTTGTTTTGTTTTGCTTTGCTTTGCTTTGCTTTGCTTTGTTTTGTTTTGATTTGTTTTGCTTTGCCTTTCTTTGCTTTGTTTTGTTTTGCTTTGTGTTTTGTTTTTTGTATTGCTTTGCTTTGCCTTTCTTTGCTTTGTTTTGTTTTGCTTTGTGTTTTGTTTTTTGTATTGCTTTGCTTTGCCTTTCTTTGCTTTGTGTTTTGTTTTGTTGAGCCCTGAAATTCTGACTGTTCTTAACCTGCAGTTTGGTAGACTGCAACGTTGTCAATAGACAAGTTGTCTTATTTGATGTTTCATACTACTTTGAAATAAAGAAAAAGTAATTAGTTCTACTTTGTGTTCAGTTGGTGACTCAGTGCAATGCAAGATTTGTGGAGTGCTTCAGTGCTCAAAAAGAATGCAACAAGGAGAAGAACCGCAACTCTTCTGTTGTCCCATGTGAGTAACATAACCTAATGTAAATATAATAGCACATCCAATTTATTTGTTGTGTATTGTTGAGTAGTTAGTCTGTTTTTTTTTTTTATTATTATATATTTTTTTTTTTTAAACTTGCTACGTGTACTGGCTAACTGAGACTTTGCAATTTTGTTGATTTTGATTGCTTCCATTGTTCTCATTTGTAAGTCGCTTTGGATAAAAGCGTCTGCTAAATGACTAAATGTAAAATACTAAATATAGTTATGGTTTACTGTGGTGTCCTGTGGCCATTTTCTTTTCTGGAGAAGCTATTTTGAGCTTTTTTTTCACATACCTTGGACTTCTATGACAGTTCTTCTAGTATCCAAACTGCAACACCGCTTTCAAAACTGCGCTTACAGCACTGTTTGAGCTAATGAGATCACATCACTGACCTGCTCTCTTACTCTGTGTCCTGATTGGCTGTTTTTATCCCTCTCAGCGGAAAGAGCACGTGTTGGTCTCGCACCGTTGCCTGGGATGAAAGGCACTGATTACATCAATGCATCTTATATAATGGTGAGTTCCCAACACCCCCACTACAACTACATTAACCTGTAATTTAGCACTCAGTGTGCTGGTGATGGAAGCCATTCTTGGGAAGGAAACAGAGGTGCCCTCTAGTCAGCTGCACAGTTATGTCAACAACATCCTGACGCCGGGCCCAGGGGGCAAAACACGACTGGAGAAGCAGTTCAAGGTGGGGACTATCTCTTTCCTTATGCAAAGTTATTTCAACAAGAAATTTGTCTGCCAGCACTGATTGCAGAACTGCAATGCATGACATTCTCAGCATATCAGAAGAGATTTGATTTTTAATGCATATTTATGCGGAGAAGAATTTTGAACCATTGAAATTGGTTCACTTTTATCGCTTGTTGCTCTATCATTTCATACCCGGTTAGGACACTGTGACTTACAACCCAAGCTTGACAGGTCCTGTGCGGGAAAAATGTGTGATATGTGGCTTGCTTGAGTTTCATAAGTTTATAAAATATTTTATTGAGTCCTGAAATTCTCACTTTTTATGGTTATTTTTGGTTCGGCTTCAATAATGAATATAAATCAACATTTCATTTTATTTGGTAGGCTACAACTGCAGGACATATTTCCTTCCTGGATTTGCAGTACTTCATGTGATGCATCTTTTTTTGTTTTGTTTTGTTGTTTTTGTTTTGTTTTCTAATAAATGTCAATTAGTTGTTTTTTGTTTTGTGTTTTGTTTTGTTTTGCTTTGCTTTGCTTTGCTTTGCTTTGTTTTGTTTTGATTTGTTTTGCTTTGCCTTTCTTTGCTTTGTTTTGTTTTGCTTTGTGTTTTGTTTTTTGTATTGCTTTGCTTTGCCTTTCTTTGCTTTGTGTTTTGTTTTGTTGAGCCCTGAAATTCTGACTGTTCTTAACCTGCAGTTTGGTAGACTGCAACGTTGTCAATAGACAAGTTGTCTTATTTGATGTTTCATACTACTTTGAAATAAAGAAAAAGTAATTAGTTCTACTTTGTGTTCAGTTGGTGACTCAGTGCAATGCAAGATTTGTGGAGTGCTTCAGTGCTCAAAAAGAATGCAACAAGGAGAAGAACCGCAACTCTTCTGTTGTCCCATGTGAGTAACATAACCTAATGTAAATATAATAGCACATCCAATTTATTTGTTGTGTATTGTTGAGTAGTTAGTCTGTTTTTTTTTTTTATTATTATATATTTTTTTTTTTTAAACTTGCTACGTGTACTGGCTAACTGAGACTTTGCAATTTTGTTGATTTTGATTGCTTCCATTGTTCTCATTTGTAAGTCGCTTTGGATAAAAGCGTCTGCTAAATGACTAAATGTAAAATACTAAATATAGTTATGGTTTACTGTGGTGTCCTGTGGCCATTTTCTTTTCTGGAGAAGCTATTTTGAGCTTTTTTTTCACATACCTTGGACTTCTATGACAGTTCTTCTAGTATCCAAACTGCAACACCGCTTTCAAAACTGCGCTTACAGCACTGTTTGAGCTAATGAGATCACATCACTGACCTGCTCTCTTACTCTGTGTCCTGATTGGCTGTTTTTATCCCTCTCAGCGGAAAGAGCACGTGTTGGTCTCGCACCGTTGCCTGGGATGAAAGGCACTGATTACATCAATGCATCTTATATAATGGTGAGTTCCCAACACCCCCACTACAACTACATTAACCTGTAATTTAGCACTCAGTGTGCTGGGGGAAACTTCTGCTTTATGGTCATGAGAGTGAACATTTGTGTAATTTTGGTTTTACAGCACCGGTGCACTTTTTTCAAATAGTATAAAGGGTTTTATTTATGGTTCAAAGATGACAGGTCAACGAGAAATAGGCATTTTGAAATTATACACAAACTTCACATTGTCATTTTGCCTTTTTATAACTAAGGATATTATTTAAGTAACTGAATTTAACTAAATATAAAGTGAGGATAAATTGAGTCACTTATCTATATGCTACCTGCTTTTGTTTATTATACGTTTCCGCACTACTACTAGGGCTACTACCGGAGCAATGAGTTCATCATTACCCAGCATCCCTTGCCTCACACCACTAAAGATTTCTGGAGGATGATCTGGGACCACAATGCTCAAATCATCGTCATGTTACCAGACAACCAGGGCCTGGTGGGTATTCAAGACCATCTGCGAAGTTCCTGTTTGTCTTGAGTCATGTCTTGCCTCTAAGGAGGGAAACTCAAGTTAATGTTATAGGCTGTGCTCCTCAAGGTCAGCCGATGTCTTGTTATTGTGGGCAGTGAACTACGGGAATTGGTTGTGAGAGCACTGAAAGTCTTTAATTACTCAGCATTGATGCTCACTCACGTTTGTTCCCGCAGGCGGAGGATGAGTTTGTGTATTGGCCGAGTCGAGAGGAAGCCATGAACTGTGAGGCGTTTACAGTCACTCTTATCAGTAAAGACAGACTCTGTCTTTCCAGTGAGGAGCAAATCATCATTCATGACTTCATCCTGGAGGCCACACAGGTCTGTGTCATTAGAGGGAAAGATTTAGATTCAAACGGTATATAGTATGTACTTAATTATTCGTATTTCATCTAATATGGTTGTATTATTTTGAATAATATTAAAATATAATTTATAGTATTCCCTGAGGCCACAAATGTCTGACTGTAAACTTATGGATTTATATAAATTTATGTTATATTTTGTTATCTAATTTTTAAAGATATTGTACTATAATTTTTGTCCCACTTTATATTAGGTGGCCTTAACTACTATGTACTTACATCAACAAATAAGTACAATCTATCTATTGTGTTCATATTGTATTGCAAAACACTTTTGCTGCTATTGAGGTGGGATACGGGTAAGGTTAGAGACAGGTTTGGTGGTATGGGTAGGTTTAAGGGTGGGTTAAGTTGTAAGGGATCGGGCAAAAGTTTAATTATAAATGTAATTACAGAAATTGATTACAGATGTACTTACATGCAGGTATTTTGTTAATATAAATCCAATGTAAAAACATGTATTTACACAATAAGTGCATTGTATCAAATTATTAATTTAAATGTAAGTACATAGTAGTTAAGGCCACCTGATATAAAGTGGGACCATCATTTATATTTATTATAAATATTTAATCACATTTAACAATTTAATATTATTGTATAATTACATTAAGAGCAAGGACCAAAGAAAAAAAGAAAAAATGAGATTATATTTTATATATTACATTTATACAATACTTTTCAAAAGTTTGGGTACCGATTTATTTATTTATTTTTTTATTTTTTTTTATGCTCACCAAGACTGCATTTATATATATAAATATATATAATAAAAAAAACAGCTAAACAGTACAGTAAAAACAGTATTAAAATTGTGAACTATTATTACAATTTAAAATCATTTTCAGCATCATTACTGCAGTCTTCAGTGTCACATGATTCTTCAGAAATCATTCTAAAATGCTGATTTAATGCTCTTAAACATTTTTTATAAATTTTAAATTATTATTATACATATAACATTAATATTTTCTATTTAATGCTGCTTAATATTTTTGTGAAAACTGTGATACATTTGTTTTCAGGATTATTTAATGAAAGGGAAGTTAAAAACAGCATTTATTTGAATAGAAATATTTTGTAACATTACAAATGTGTTTACTGTCACTTTTGATCAATTTAATGCATTGTTGCTGAATAAAAGTGCTAATTTCTTTAAAAAAAAAAAAAAACTGGCGCCAAATTTGTGTACAGTACAGTACAGTACAGTATATAAATAAATAGATTATATACGTAGTTTATATAAAAGTTCATAATTATAATAATATTTATATTATACATTTTGGTTTAAACTATATATAATTTTATCTCTCTCCATTTCTTTTACTTTTTAGGATGATTACGTTTTAGAAGTTCGTCATTTTCAGTGCCCAAAATGGCCAAACCCTGACGCTCCCATAAGCAGCACCTTTGAGCTCATCAATGTCATCAAAGAAGAGGCCATGACCAGAGATGGACCCACTATAGTGCATGACGAGTGAGTAATGCACTTTTATTAAAAAAAAGTGCCTCGTGTAATTTACAGTTTGGCTTAGAAAACCTCAATCTTAAGTAAAAACTGCCTCTGGTTTTAGAGGTTGGGATGAGATAAACATTGGTTCAATTACTTCAATCACAATTCACATACCAACCATCTGATATAGTATGTAGCACGTCAGAACTGGAACAATACAACCTTTTTTCATGTTTTGTGACTTGAGGCTTGCATGCTTTGCCAATACACACTTTTTGTACCTAATAGAAGTCTGCAAATTGGGCCAAATGCAAGATGCAGATCTTCTGCAGGAGGAGCATTTGACAGACTAGCATATCTTTAGCTCTAATGAACGTGATGCTAATTAAGACAGACATCTTTTCGAAACCTCTTAGGGGTGATATAATAGTAACGTTACACATTTTGAAAAGCTCAATTAGTCCAGCATCAGATGAGGCAATCAGGCCTCATTAACATAATGAATAAACATGAAGGGGCCACTGTTAGTCGTTTTGTTGCAAAGTAATGTCTGTTGATATTAAGGAATACTCGTTAAAGCTAATTGGATCACAGCACCTTAGGGTGTCAAACAGTAGGAACTGTAATTAATTATATTCCTATAGACTTAAGTATAGAGTTTATAAATGGAAATGTTGCACTACTGTCAGAGAAAGAAGCAAGAACACTAGATAAGACAAGATGGAAAATGGCCTGTACAAGATGATCTATAAAAAGAAATGTGTAGAAATAGAAAACCTCCTCTTACAGTAAGCAACTGAGCCACATATAAAAATAAGCTAGAATTTTGTAATTTGGTGTTTTGTAATCAAATTTACTGTGTAAATTTACTTTATGTAAATAAGAATAACAGCCACAATATTCCAGTGCCTTAACATTTTATTTTTGGTTGTTGCTATTGATGGGATACCACAAAACATTTACTTTTCATTAACCATTTTATTTAAAGGGGTCATATGATGCGATTTCAAGTTGTCCTTTCTATTTGGAGTGTTACAAGCTCTTGGTGCATAAAGAAGATCTGTAAAGTTGCAAAGACTAAAGTCTCAAATCCAAAGAGATATTCTTTATAAAAGTTAAGAGTCAGCCACACCTACCTAAAACGCCTCGTTCTAACACGCCCCCACATATCTACGTCACTATGTGGAAATATTAACATAATGCCGCCCAAATGTGCACGCAAAGAAAGAAGGCGTGGTTTCAGGAACGCAGTAGTGTTGATGCAGCCATGTCAGGGAGACGCTGTGTGTTTCAGTGCGAAAGCAAACGCACTTTATTTGGCCTTCCGGAAGTAGATGCAATTAGGAAATAATGATCTTTAAAATAGCATCATATGACCCCTTTAAACATATAAACATTACATTTTGCTTTAGTTTCATGAGAACAACTTTGAGGTCATACAGTCAAAATACATGTATTTAATATATTATTTAAATATATAATAATATATAAACATATTTCTTCATGCACATTATTGGTTTTATTACGCATGATTGTTTGGTGAAATAAAAAATATATTTGTTGTTTTAATCTGTTAACAAAAATATACAAATAATAAATTATAACTTGCTCTGATTTTTCCTAGCATTTTCAGTAAAAGATAAATAAAATAAAATAATTACATGAAAATGTCAACATCTTAGAAAACAAAAGACCAAAATTAGAAATGTTGCCTTAGCATCTAATTGAAATAAAGTACTAACATTTCTAAAACTTAAACTGAAACAAAATAAATTAATGTTAAATATTAAACAACAAAAACCTATACAAATAACAAAAGCACATAACAAATATTTACTCAAATTAAAATATTTTTTTTAAAAAAGCCAATTCAAAACATTAACAAATATTATAATAGTTTACAAATAATACTAACAAAACACTGTTCTGGCATCCCCAATCCAATTTTTTAACCCTGGCCCATCACAAAGACACGACTTTTCACACTTTAGTCAATTCCCAAAGAATACAATAACAGAAATAAAAGTCCCGTCCTTCTTTTTTATTTTTCTTCTTCTTGTTGAATAATATTTCAATCTGACATATGACACATTAAAAGAGGTAAATGAGTTGAACAGCATTTATGTTGACTTTTAAGAGATGTTTGATCATAACAGAGCTATGTATTGTTTGTGTGTGGACAGATTTGGCGCAGTGTCTGCTGGGATGTTATGTGCTCTCACCACACTGTCACAGCAGCTGGAGAGTGAAGGAGCTGTGGGGGTCTACCAGGTGGCCAAGATGATCAACCTCATGAGACCAGGAGTCTTTACCGACATTGTAAGTGTTTATACTGAGGTCCATATGCTTATTCTGGTCACATTTAAAGATTTAGTTCACATCAAATATAATGAACTCACCCTTAAACCTAAATGACACAAAAGAACATATGTATGTGTGTGTTTAAAGTTCACCTAAAAATGAAAATTCTGTCATTGATAACTCACCCTCATGTCGTTCCAGGTTAACTTTTTTTGCACATAGCACTGGTGCTACAGAGGTTGAAAGTTTTGTAGCACAGGCCAAATAGTTGTAGCACAAGTTAGGGAAAAAATATCATATCACCATTTTATTCAGGAATATCACGATTCTTTGTCATGTTGGTTTTACTATTTTGCAAGTTGCCTGAGCATTACAGCCAATCTTATTTGTTTCTGAATTAGAACAAATTAGTACCGTGTGGCTACGATTCAACTAAAACATGGGAACTAATTAATAAAACACAGCCACGAGTTCATACCCACAGCTCAATTTGTTGCCGATTTAGAACAAATTAGTACAACATAGCCAAACTGTAACTAAAATGAGAGAACAAATGAATCAAATTTGGCCTTAATATCTTTTGTTGATCCATGCAGGCGAAGTCGTGGCCTAATGGTTAGAGAGTCGGACTCGTAACCCAAAGGTTGCGGGTTCGAGTCTCGTACCGGCAGGGATTGCAGGTGGGGGGAGTGAATGTACAGTGCTCTCTTCCACCTTCAATACCATGACTGAGGTGCCCTTGAGCAAGGCACCGAACCCCCAACTGCTCCCCGGGTGCTGCAGCAAAAAAAAAAATGGCTGCCCACTGCTCTGGGTGTGTGTCACGGTGTGTGTGTGTTCACTGCTGTGTGTGTGCACTTTGGATGGGTTAAATGCAGAGCACTAATTCCAAGTATGGGTCACCATACTTGGCCACATGTCATGTCACATCACTTTGTTGAATCAATTTTAAGTTAAAATGTGATCCCTTGTGTGAGCACATTCAGCTGCTTCTGACATTTTTACACATCAACATAAAAGCTGAATGTCTGCCACTACTGGACTGGAGTGGGAAGCTAGTATCTACATTTTACATCCTTTTCTAAACACAATTTTTCTCCAAAACAAAAAACAAATCCTCTGTGCCCCATTGTGAAGTCATGCTTTATGTCCGCCTCTGTTTTTCAGGAACAGTACCAGTACCTTTACAAAGCTATGCTCAGCTTGATAAGCACTAAAGAGAACGGATCCAGCCCCATGTCCCTGGACAGAAACGGCAGCGTGGCCATGTCTGACGAATCGGACCCGGCCGAAAGCATGGAGTCGCTCGTCTAAAGCCCCCCGAACAGGCGCGAAGAGGCACTTACTCGAACTTTGTAAAACTTCAAGGACTAAGACAGACTTTTTCTGAGGCCTTTTTTGCCAGAACTCTTGGTTAAAAGAATAACCTGATTACTTTTTTACACTGATAAAAAGTTTTTGATATTTATTTTTTCGCCATTTTATGTCTTAATGTTATCCTACTGAACATTTGCACCGACGTTTTTTGAGTTCGCAACAAACGAAACTAAATGAAACACAGTTCTGTCTAGTTTGCACTATGAAAATATCAGTGTTACTGCCTACTCCTGCATCTCCACCACAGTCGGTCTCTCTCACTCACTTTGAACTCTCACTGTCAAGCCCTTATTCTGACATTCCATAATAAAGCTGCTCTCCGAAGCTTTAGAAATATCCTCCACAAGCGAAAAACAGTTTCCACGCACACCTCAGACGCTGGAAAAAGAGATTATTCCCATGTCCAACTTGCGAAGACCCACCACAAAACGTCAGATTCACCGATGAAAGACCGTATGAGCAATATGGATTATGTTCGTTTTGATTTTCGTTTGCTTTGATCATTTCACGCACCCCGAATAGTATATCTACTCATTATGCTTCTAGTTAACCCCATATTTACTTTCGAAAGGTGGTATTAAAACAGTTACTGTGAACTTTTGTATGATTCATATTCTGCTTTTAATATATATGAATATATCGTATATCATGATAACTTGTGCTTTTGTAAATGTTAACTGTCTCTACGAGCAGCCGTCACAGTCTCTGCTGTCAGTCGAAGGATCCGCAGAGCCCGTGACTTCTCTAGGACCCCCTGCTGGTTTGATTTCTCCATTGCTTTACGCTGCAAGCTGCTACTTTTGTCACTTGAGAGTGCAACTCAACATGTAATGATAAAATGCGACTCATAATGTAGGAGTTAATTCTGTTCTCTGCCCACTTCATTTTGTAATTTTTATACTGCTCTACTTCGTCCTGGGTTCACTGACATAAGCCGTCCCATAACTTTGAGAATAATGTATACAAGTCTCTCGATGCCTTCTGTACAGTCTCATTTCACCTCGGCAGGTGTGTGTGTATGTGTGTGATATTAGGTGTGTGTTGTGTTTGGTATTGACTGGTTTTACTAGAAGCTTGTAGACTCAGTCCGAGCATTTCTTCACTAAACCGACCTCTTTTAGTGTCTCTCATTTCTTGTCATTGATTCTCAGATACTGCTAGGAAAAACAGTTACTGTAATATCGTAAACGGTTGTCTCATGCCATACAGCACAAAGGCCTTGCAAACAAAACATTCGAATCAGTCTTATCGCTTCGAAAACTGGGGACCCCGCGCGATTCATAAATTTTTACCAAAGACTACAACTGTCACTTCAGTCATGAAACGTGAGAAAGTTTTTATTTTTAGGATTGGGTAAAGCCGTTTTAAGCAGAATGTTTTTGGTAGTGACTGGAAAAACAATGTTGAAAATGTCCACAGGCAAAATTATGTTTTTGTTTTGTTGTATGTTTTGCTTTGCATCTTTGTTTTTTGTTGCGTTTTGTTTGTTTGGTTTTGTTTTTGTCTAAATTGCTTCGCTGAGCATTTGTTTATCTGACAGGTCACCTTTATTTTTGTTTCGTTTCTTTTTATGTTGCAATGAGAATGTACACTATTACTGATTTCTTTTGATGTGAAGAAGAAAGCTGTTGAATTTTTGTTTGACTTTTGAAATGCTTTCGAAAGTTTGACTATGTTATGCTGTTGAGATGGAGAAGACACACATTGAAGGTGTTTACTCAGTTCATGTCTTGGTTCTCCTAAGAAGGAGGCTGGAAAATGAAGTCACATCTCTCCAACATTTGGGGTAATATTCTGACTTTACTTGTGCATCGCGTAAGATAATTGGAGCTGCAAGTTGCATAAATCTTTTCTAACATTTTTGTCCTGTAGTATCCCTTTTTTCCTTTTCTTGCATTATTTGTGGGTTGCATTTGCAAGCATATTTGCATTATCATGTTAAGAAATGTACATATCTATTTCTTGCTTCATTAACTCGTCAGTCTCTAAAAGCTTTGGATCCTGGCATATAATTGCAAACTCTCTATTTTCATATGAATCAATTTTGTTTGTTTGTTTGTTCTTAGTTTTGTGTGTAGTTCTCATTGATGGTTAACACAAAATGTCCCCAAATCCTTCAGAAGGTGGCTGGCATCACATTCCAAACACACAACAATCATAAACTAAGGCAGTGATTTTGGTATTTCTTTTTTCTTTCCCCCATTTGAATCAAAATAAAATCTGTTTCATTGTTCAGAAGTGCAATAGAATAGATCTTGTAAGTCAAAGAATAAGTTCTCCCATACAAAGCAGGTGGGTGTCACCATCATATCCACTTTTTCTAATCTGGAATAACACACAAAGGTTTTTTTGTTTTTGTTTTTTTTTTTTAAGGGGTTTTCTTTTTTTCTTTTTGTTGAAAGCTATATCAAAGCATTCTATTATAGTGTTATTTAATATGTAAATTGTATTGCTATACATAAAATAAAATATGAGTTTTGATGTACTTTAAGTATATCTCCATGTTGTACGTTGTGTGGAGTCTAAAATGTTTGATATTCGTTATTTGTATTTGCTTGCATCTGTTTCCAAAATTTGCATGAAATGTAAAAGTATAACACTGCCTCCCAGTGTTCACGTTTTTTTTTTTTTTTCGTTTTTTCCCTTCTGACTGTAATCTGAATGGTCCTAATTGCTGTAATTATTACAATGCCTGATTTAGCTTTTCACAAATATAGATTTCAATCAGAACAAATGCTGATGTCAGGGGCATAAAAACAATAATCATGAAGAGCCAGTATAGTAAGAGTAACAGTACAAGGGACAAAGCAAAGTTAATTACAAAATGAAACAATACACAGAAGAAAGAACAGTCAGATTGCATGTTTTTCAATGTCCCAGTCACACTGTGTTATAACTTAATACGCCACAAAGGATGTCTTCAAATAATGCAGGACCAGACATTAATGAATTATGTACATCTTTGTACGTCTTGACTAATTTTATGCAACAGAAGAAAAGGTTTGTTTTAATAGAGCGTCACTGTAAAACATTTTAAAACAAGTAAAGCCGAGCCAATGTCAGCTGATTATTTAATCTTTAATATTAATTTAATATTATTTAAAATAGTAAAAGTGTTGCACCAAATTAACCATAATCTACAAATTCTTCTTCTTCTGTCTTCTCTGTTATGTTTGGTGTTCAACACAAGTAGATGAAGGGTGGATGCCACCAGTCAATTAAAATCAATAGGCTTGGTCTGCTTGAATGATTGAAATATTCAGCTTTTGAACATAAGAGAAAGCAGTTAGTCTCATTAAGTGATGGCGACATACATATCACATGCATAAAGTCTCTCGATTTATTTTTCACAAGAAGACCTGCAAATGACCATTTTGGAGAAAAAAAAATCTAATTTCTGAGACCATTCATATTTTTCCCTATTGTGGCATTATTCACCTGATTCACATGATCTTCAATGCTTTTCATTAATTTAAATTGTCATTAATACAGTAATGAAAATGAACATGTTTATATTAAAAGCAGCATATAGGCAGTACAACAAAATTTTCATAAACAGCACAAATGTAAACGGCAGCAATAGTATTAAGCCATTGTTTAAAAATAAATAAAAAATCCAAAGCAACTTACAGTTGAGGAATACAACAAGCGATTGTTGTATATACATAGGCCTAAATAAATACAACTTGCCCCATAAAATGACAACCTGATATTTGCATTTTTAGGTTGTGGGTGTAAATAAGAAAACACTCATGGTGCCAGTTTAAGCTACAACAACTCTTACAGATAGGCCTATCATAATAATGGAATATTAGTTTGGACACAGAATATATAAACAAATATACTCATTATAAGAACGTTTTGAACTGGATAATTTAATCATCATTGGCACTGCTAAAACAAGCATTTGTTTAAGTGGACTTTTGACTATTTTTACATCGCTGTAATGAGAACTAATATGCTTAATTATCGTGAAAATAATCTTAATGGGAAAAAAGTATTCGCTTTAAAATATACTTAATTTCATTATATTGTTTTATAATTATAGGCCTATATAATATAATATATATAATGTATAATTCGTCTTGAAATATGACCTTGATTTGATTTCTAAAATGAGATCCATTATGTCCACAAAACCAACGTTCCCCTACATATGCTGCAGTTCGCCGCAACACACACGAGGGGGCGGTACGTGATAAACACATAGAGGCTAAAAGCTCAAATACACACGCGCCCCATGTGCGCTCCTGTCTCATTAGTGCGCAACTGCGCATGCGCCCAGTCGTGACTGACCGCGCACTTGAGACGTTTGAAACTTCTCGCCGGTGATTAGCGCAGCACTTCTACATACAGCTAACGGTAAGACCCTTTTTATCCTCATTGTTAATAAATCCACTCTATATTATCTTCTGGTCGTTAATAAACTATGAGTTTACTGAATGATCTTGTTTGAATGCTTACGCACGCAGCGCGCGCTGTTAAGAGTGAGCTGGAGAGTTAGCTCGTGAGCTAACCACATAACGCAGTACTTTCCGCCTTACTTTCACTAAATTAACCTCGTTTGGCGGTTTCTTCAGTGTCCATCATATTGGAAAATAGAGGTCGTTTTATTGTGAAGTGCTTTTTTTGCTGTGCTTATTTTGGATGACTAGCATTTCTTCTCAGCATGCTAACAGCTTTAGCACGTGAATCATGGCCTGAGTTTCTGTCAGTAAACGCTATCATAAACAACCAGACTGACACAGTGGAGCCCATTAACCAGCCGTCTACCACACCGAGCATAATTTAGTGTTTATTCGTAAATGTGAGCGAGATGCTTGTCAGGCCGCTTCAGTCAGAGCAGGCCAAGCATGTGTGCTACCGTTGGTCAAGATCATAAACATGAACATTATCAGCTGTTTTCGCTATCAGCATAAGCGATGTGCAGAAGAACAATGTAAGGGTCCGTTTACATTAAAATGTACTTCAGATGCAGGTCTTTCATTTCTGAAATGCGTTACCAAAACGTTCACATTATCATCAGCATGATCTTTCTGCTTTACAGAATGACTTGATTTTAATAAATAAAACAGTACCCTTGCTGTAGTAGTGTGTGTGTATGTGTATATGTGTGCATATGCGTGTATATATGTGTGTGTGTGTGTGTGTATATATATATATATATATATCATATCTCAACAAATCATCTCACTGCATCAGTTCTCATAGTGGATCCTTCTATTTCTGTAGCAATCATGGAGCTCAATGATGGAAATCTCCAAACCCTGACTGAGTATCTGCAGAAAACACTAATCCCTGACCCAGCTGTGAGACGGCCAGGTAACGTTCACATTTGAGGCTATTCTAAAAAAAATACTGCATTTTCTTTGGATTTGTGTATGAGAAGGAAAAAACATTCAGGCCTCAATAATAATGCTTTTTTTTTCCCTACTGGCCCAGCTGCCAAAATTTTCACTAGCTTGCCAAAAAAAAGAAAAATATTAGTGTTTTATGCTCATGTAGTCTTGTATTGTAATATGTTGTCATTACTATGCCAATATTTTATGTACTAGTGAAATTTCACAATTCTCAGTAGTAGGGCTGAACGGTTAATTGCATTTGCGATAAAATCGCGATATGAACAAATTTGATTTTTCAGTCACAGAGGTTGCGATTACACGGTCACGTGACACGCGAGAGTAAAGAGGTTTGTTCGACTTGAAGATCGATCGGTGTGTGTCATTAAAGTACGGCGAGAGAAAGCATAAGCAGACGTCCGCGCTCTCTTATAGCTCTCACGTACTTTGATGACACACACACCGATCGGTCTAAGCAGCGCTGCTTCAAGTAGAGCGCGGGCCATCAGCAGATTTTTTTATAGGTTTAAAGGGGGGCGCGACCAAAAAAGTTTGAGAACCACTGGTCTAAAGTTAACAGACAGTGTTTAAAAAGTGCAGTGCACATGTTTACATATGTTTATTACAGTGACTTTGAATTACCTAAAGTAGTGTGGTAAAGCAGATTATTTTCCAAAATCGTTCAGCCCTACTCAGTAGTGCTGAACAATTTACATTTAGTCATTTAGCAGACGCTTTTATCCAAAGCGACTTACAAATGAGGACAATGGAAGCAATCAGAATCAACAAAAGAGCAATGATATACAAGTGCTATAACAAGTCTCAGTTAGCTTAACGCAGTACACATTTTTTTTATTTTTTTTATTATATGATAAATAAAAGCCTCTTTGGGATGGCACAATAAAGCGACGTTCACTTGCAGAACGCAAGCTTCTAGAGGGCACACAAGTCTGAAGTGGCCAGTGGTGGTTTTGTAGGCAAACATTAAAGCCTTGAATTTTATTCGAGCAGCTATTGGTAGCCAGTGCAAATTGATGAACAGAGGTGTGACGTGCGTTCTTTTTGGCTCATTAAAAAAAAAAAGAAAAAATTCTGGATTAGTTGTAAATGTTTGAATTTGGGGGGAAATATTCTAAAGAAAATCAGGTTTGTTGTGCTTTTTTTGTAGGGCTGCGTAATTTGGCCAAACATTAAGCAAATATTACTATTGTAATAACTAGGGATGTAACGATGAACCGCGAGCCGGTTGAAAATCGATTTAAATATGTGACGATTCAAATGGGTTGAGATGCTAAACAAATCGCAATTCATTTAGGGCTAGGAGTTTATATGAATGCATGTCTGAGGGGAACTTACTGTCTTTAGAAAAGTTTAGATGGTATTTTTTCTTTTCATCTTGCCTCTGTATAATGCATATTAAAGTTCATAAGTGCAGCGCTCCTTTGTTTACAGCAGAAACCAAAGAAACGCTTTAAGCGCCACCTGCTGGCAGAGAGTGAATCTGCATCTCATTCAGCTCGTCTGCTGTTTCTGTTTCATGCAGATATTTTTATGTATAGTTTCACAAAACTGAAGTCAAACCATTCTGTTTTTGCTTCAAATTTCGAAATTATACAATCGTGAGTTGAGTGAATCGTTACATCCCTAGTAATAACACTTTACTATTGTAATAAAATAAAAGTATTTAGGAATAATTCCGGGCTTGGCCCCTAATAGGTGTGAGATTTAGAATATTAATAAACTTACTAAATAGTAAACTTTCATTTTATGAAAAAATGCAGGGGGCTTATAACTATAAATCATTAGAAAGGTCTAAGGTATTTTTGTCAAATATATTATATTATGCAAAAAATCTGTCACAGTAATTTCTTAATTTTTGTTAGGTTTTTTTTTTTTGTTTTTTTTTCCGCTAAGAAAAAAAAAAACACTACACTTCTCTTCAAAAAACTTAAACTAAACAACTTCCCTCAGGGCTTTTAGTCCAAAAGTGTGGTTGTTTGGCCAAAAAGCATATTGATTCTAATATGTTAAT